CATCAACTTTTAAACTGTATTTTTAGGTCCATTAACTTTTGGTGGTGTATCATACAGGTCCATCAACTTTCAAACTGTATTTTTTGGTCCATTAACTTTTGGTGTTGTGTCATCCAGGTCCATCAACTTTTAAATTGTATTTTTTGGTCCCTAAAGTTTTTAACTGGTTCACCGTAGATCCATACCACTTCGTTTAGCGAATAGATCTGACATGGTACGCCAAATAAGCGAACAGGGTGATGGATTCATGCATTATGTAAGCATGATCTAATCCGGACGTAATTAAGCAGATTATTGCAAACATGTATACTACTAGCTACAACGTACAGCGTACGCGGGGATCTGGATTCTGGCAAGTCGCTTGGATTGGAGATGGAACGAAAAATGATTCCGGCAAATGCATGGATGCGTGCACACGCACCACCAGCTAGTCAGCACAATCGTCATGATCACGCTACATTTTGCAGCGAATATGCCATGTTTGGGACATATTTGCACAAGACCCGGTTGTAGATTAAGCGGCCGTGCAGTGTACAAGACCCGGAATTCTCAACTAATGTTTGCAGGCCAAACTTCTACAGTTCTACTCCCCTTTCTAAAAGGGTATTGGCCATTTCTCGAACTGTATAACTTACATCGTAGTTCGGTTTTTAATTCTAAACTATACGATACCAGGTAGTAGACGTCCTTCGACTGACAATTTGTAGTTATCTGGTAGGTTCCAAAAGGTGGTTTTCTATTTTCTAAAAATAACAAAAATCTGGTTAATCTCTAAAATATTCATAACTTACTATTTGTTTTAAATAACAAAATATTAAACTAGTGCCATTTTTTTTGTCTAAAAATGTTTCTCAACGTGTGTGCGAGAAGTTTCTTCTTCATGTAATCATGCAATGCCATGGGAGCAGTTTTTCCCCGTGGGTCAGAGTTTTTTTTAGTGCGGCACTTTGAATCTGATTTCCTGACCATCAGTGCTGCAAATTAAATGAAACCTGCAAAAATACAGCCGATCGGTACATTGTGGCTTAAGGCCAAGGCCACGTTTAGTTGCCTGAATTTGGCGCCGCCAAAAAACACTGTAGCTACACTGTAGCATTCCGTTCGTATTTGGTAATAATTGTCCAATCGTTGACTAATTAGGCTCAAAACGTTCGTCTCGTAGAGTACAACCAAACTGTGCAATTAGTTTTTGATTTCGTCAACATTTAGTACTCTATACATGTACCGCAAGTTTGATGTGACGAGGAATCTTCTTTTTATATAGTATCAAAGTTAGAAATTTAGAGTGAACTAAACACATGGCCCAAATAATGTCGATGGGAACACTGGGGTTAGTCGTACACTTCGGGAGAGGCCGGGTGAAGAAGTCCAGCAGTGACGAGTGTCAGTGGACGGCCAGCGGCGCATGCAGGCTAGCTCTCGGCAGGTGGAAGTACAGGTCTCTACAGGCAACCCGTGGAAAGCGAGAAAGGAAGGGAACCCACACACAACTCTGGTTATTGCTACTGTGCCTATACGATCTCACGGTCGAATTTAAGAGGTATTAGGTGCATGACTTAATGAGTACGTACGTACAGGTACAGGTACACGTACTACTCCTATTACCTCTTGTGTCCTGTACTAATAATATTGCATACTCCAAGGAAAGCCACCATGGCCCTTTGCATGCATCTCCCCAACCAAATGCTGCAGCAGAGCCACCAAGGTTTCCGGCTATTCAATTCCTGCCGCATCTGCGTACTCCGGGGGACAACCCAGCAGGACGACTCGTTCTGGTCCCGGTTTCTACTGCCGCGGATAAGTCGACTGAAACTGATTTATTAAAAGAGAAAAACACTATAAGTTCAAGCGAACATGTAGCTCTTCTGCCGTTACCACGTTCCATAGCCACCATTTCGATCGCACACATACAAGATACCAAGGTATGTTATGTCTGTGACTACTTCGCTCCATTATTTAAGCTCCGTTTTCAACTTCCTTAGCCAAACAAGACAGTTCAACGAACTCTGCTCTAGAAAAAAAAATTACCGGCCAACTTCTAGGCTTTTTATGCAACACCCAAAGGTATACTCCACAACCTTCAGATTTTTTTTTAGATGTGCTTAATGATGGAGTTGGTAAAGCAGAGCTGGTTTCGATGAAGTAGAGTAGCCCTAAACAGACCCTAAGGTATGTGTGTTTTGAAAAGAACCTCCAGCTAAACTTTGGCTATAGTTTGATTAATGTCTTCTATTATGCTATTTTGGTTCGTGTTTCATACTACCTCAGCTATAAAAGAACTTGGTAGATTCTAATGATTTCGATTGTGTCCTAAAAAATAATATCATTTAGTTAGGCCATGTACACTAAACCTGCAACCATTTTGCGTCCAACCACTAGCCTTTGTAGCCCCTGAAAACTAAAATGAACCCCTAACTAGTAAGGACATCGATCTATGGTCATTTCACATACCCCTATTCGAAAGTTCCGATCCTAAACCTGACAAGTTGTCCGCTAGCAGTGTGACCTCACTTTGAATATCACGTACAGTAACAAATTTTGCTAATCAACTCACTGAAATCTGACTAAGGCCCTGTTCGGTTAGTCCAGATTCCCCAGAATTTTTGTTCCAAATGATGAAATCTTATATAAATTAGAGAAGAAATCCAGCTAGGAATTGTTCCAGGGGTCAAATCCGTGACAACCAAACGAGGCCTAGTTGATGCGGCACGTAGGCAGGCAGAGCTGCCGCCGCATCGTCGACAAGCAAGGGCAGCGGCGGCAAGCAAGAGCATGCATCGCATTGCATGCGCGCTTCATCAATGTGGCCAGCCCTCCGCGTCCGCCTACTAGGCATTGATCGATGTGCGGGACCCAGCAGCCAGTGAGGCTTCCACGGCTCCACCCACACCTCACTCCTCAACTAAAACTCATGGCGTGGCGGTTTGGCTGGTCGCTGGTGGACGCACTACGTCTGAATATGATTGCGTCCGTGCAGGCACGCACGGGCACGAGTACGGCGCGTCACTCATGGCGTGACTGGAGTATGATCAAGGCGTGGCGTGATGCTATGGTTAAGGAGGCCTTGTCTCTGGGATAAGACTTGGTTCAAACCTTATAAACTACAGTCTACAAATATCAGTATCCACCGGTACATCATTTACTTTGAAAATATCAAGTACTCTCTCTAGCTAATATCCACAAGTTTATAAGGCATTTCACATGAATCGAGACAAACTTTATAATCGTTGACCGATAATTTGATGAATAACTTTTAACTGTTGTAATTCAAACTTAATACTATTAGATTTGTAATCCAATGTACTGCCTAATAATCATAAACTTAATCACGAACAATATATATAATATAAAATAAAGAAATGGTCAAAGTATGATTTATGAGACCATGTTATATTTTTTTATGACGCCTTATAAACTGGAACCATATATAGGGAATATTATTGACCAAATAGTAGTTTCTTTTGAGTTTTTTTAAGCTAAACTTACTTTTAGTAATTAGAGGCTCTAAAGCGCTTAAAATGAGGAAGGAATGGGGCCATTGCAATCTCTATCCAAGAGTGCCACACCAGCCAAAGGGGAAACTCTTTGATAAACTGAGAGTAAATACCGTGTTGTAGAATTGTAATAGGTGACACTTTGTAAGAGTCACCATTCACCAATACAACCAAGCAAGGGCCATCAGCCCATCACCAAATGTTTCCTTGGCTCTTGGGTCATCATCCTGCGACCCCTTAATTGGTGACGCTTCAGGAAGGTTCAATACTGATCAAGTGATCAACAGACTGAAGGAAGCAAATTAAAAGGTGACTAGATGATCATTTGTGCTGTGTGTCGTGGTGTCTACTGGTACTCCATTATCGATCTCGTCTTCCATCCACAAACGTCTGACGTGTTTGTAAGGAAAAACCAAAGGCTCCCCTTTTAATTTGTCCCGTGCGTCCGCCGGTGTAACGACGGCCGATAAAAGGCCATGGCGAACATGCAAAATTAACGTACGTATGAACCAATTAAAGACGGCCACCACAGTTCGTTGGCGCACCATAAAGTGTTGCTGTCGCATACAGAACTGACGCTAAAAATTGAATTGCCTGTCGATGTTCCTTTTTTTCAATCTTATTAAGCCTGCGACGACGATTTGTTGAACCACGGGGGCCGTACTTGCCTCCGGTGGATCATGAGGCCCCGTGCCATCTCTGCCCTTTTTCTCTAGCTGTCTCAACTGTCCGGTCGATTAGCAATTCAATGGCCGAAATTAAAGTGATGCGTAATTATGGGAGGGAGGGAGGCATCCAATCTTATCGTACGCCGTGTCGCCTTGTGTGTCAGTATGTGTTCTTTTCCCCAAAAAAATTTACTACGTGTACACTTTCAGCTCATATATGTGGTCGATTTTTTATTTTTAACTCAAATGCATGTAAATCTCAACAAAAGAAAAAACTCAAGTGCATGTAGTTTGCTGTTTCTTCACGAGCCAAAAAAAAAAAGTGGAGCTGCCAAGCTTATACGTACTACTTGTGATAAGCTCTACTGACAAACCCCAAAAAAAGATTGCTTGCGGTAAGGCCCGGTTTTGTCTCTCCCCGACTGGTAGGTAGTTTGAGTTGTGAGCAGGCAGTTCGCCGTTTGAGCCTTTGTATCACGGTCGTTGATTCATTTCTGGTTTCTGCGTCCGATAAGTCAGCTAAAACTAATTTATTATACGAGAAAAATACTATTACGTGCTACCGTACCAGTAACTAAACGGCACGGAAAGCGATAGCCATAGCGACGAGGAGTGGCGCCACCGCCAATAAATAGGCGCCCGGGTCATCGGCCAACCCCCATCGCCCCCTGCTCATCTCATCTCTCTCTCTCTCTGGCTGCACTCCAGTCAGATCGGATACATCACTAGTAGCCGCGTGCTCATAACTGTTTCCCATCCATCCTTGAGCCTCCCGCTCCCAGGGTAGTACAGGGTACAGGAACGAACAAGCAGAGGAGATCGAGAGCTGCTGATCGAGATGGCCGGAGGCGGCGACCACAACTCCCAGACGAACGGAGGTCACGACCAGAGGGCCATGGAGGAGGGCAGGAAGGAGGAGTACGCTGACCAGGGCTGCGCCGCCATGGTCGTCTCCGTCCCATTCATCCAGAAGGTACGGAGGCACTGTGAGATGAGATCTGCCAAAACTACTCCGTCTTCTTCGGCTCTTTCCCCGGCCCGGCCGCCGCTAATTACTCCTCCTCCTCCTCTCTCTCTCTCTCTCTCTCTCTCTCTCTCTCTCTCTCTCTCTCTCTCTCTCCCATATGTTCGCGGAGATATGGAACGTCATGGTCATGGCTGCAGATCATCGCGGAGATCTTCGGCACCTACTTCCTGATGTTCGCGGGTTGCGGCGCGGTGACGATCAACGCGAGCAAGAACGGGCAGATCACGTTCCCGGGGGTGGCCATCGTGTGGGGTCTGGCCGTCATGGTGATGGTGTACGCCGTGGGCCACATCTCCGGCGCGCACTTCAACCCGGCCGTCACCTTCGCCTTCGCCACCAGCGGGCGGTTCCCGTGGCGGCAGCTGCCCGCGTACGTGCTGGCGCAGATGCTGGGCGCCACGCTGGCGTCGGGCACGCTGCGCCTCATGTTCGGGGGGCGGCACGAGCACTTCCCGGGGACGCTCCCCACGGGGTCCGAGGTGCAGTCGCTCGTCATCGAGATCATCATCACGTTTTACCTCATGTTCGTCATCTCCGGCGTCGCCACAGACAACAGAGCGGTAAGCGGAAATGAGGATGATGATGATGATCTGTTTTTTTATCTTTTTCTTCTTTTTGTTTTTCCTTGATTTTCATGCTATTGATCGACTGTGTATCTGCAGATCGGGGAGCTGGCAGGGCTGGCCGTGGGCGCAACCATCCTGCTTAACGTCCTCATTGCCGGGTAACTACTCTACGTATCACTCTTCATGACGTACTATATACATGGCCTCAAATATATATTTTCTCCAAATATTACTCCTAAGTAGCAGTAATTACTAATTAGTAGGGCATTTGCATGAACTAGCATGCATGACATCAGCCGGGTTGTCACAGGAATAACTTTAAGCTTTTTAACTTTTCACACTGCGTGCACAAAGTGTCAAACTATCGACCAGACAGTGTTTTCCCAAGTCAAAAAAAAAACAAATACCAAAAGAGAGAATAGAATAGAATATGTAGTAGGGCTTTGTTGTGGGTGCCTCTGTCGGTAGCAGGGTTTTATGGAGCCATAAAGACCGTCATGTGAGTAGAGAGTAGTCATGGCGTACTAGCAGGAGCAGATACTAGCTTTGATGAATGATGGGTGTGGGTGGGGGAACACCGGTGCAATGCCATTAATGTGAACGTAATACCACTCGTGTCCAGCTAGGCTGCTAGTCTGTCTGAGTGGTAGGGCCGCCTATGTGTGTGCAGAAACTGCATACTAGTATGCAAATGCACTCTCTTCTCTTGTGAACACTGACCTGCCCAATAGACTCAAGCCGCTTCTGACTTGTGTGCAAGTGGAATAGTCGCACTAGTAGCATCATATCATAGGGTTTAAAACTGAATACTACTTAATTCACTGTTAAGATTTTTTTACTGTTAGTACAATATTTTTTACTTGTTATTAGTAACAATAATTTTAAATTAAATTAATTAAATTTTGGAAATGAACTCGTACTAGTACCGCCCTTTTCTTTTCTGATGATTGACTTTTCAACCTTCCCGATGGTGGAAAAGAACGAAACCAAGAAACAAAGAAAAGCTTTTGGATTGACAAGCCCATCCATGATCCATGTGCTTTTGTCTTGTGGCAACACAACAGGCCCGTCTCTGGCGCGTCGATGAACCCGGCCCGGAGCGTGGGCCCTGCGCTGGTGAGCGGGGAGTACCGGTCCATCTGGGTGTACGTGGTGGGCCCCGTGGTGGGGGCCGTGGCCGGGGCGTGGGCATACAACCTGATCCGCTTCACCAACAAGCCCCTCCGCGAGATCACCAAGAGCACCTCCTTCCTCAAGAGCATGAACAGGATGAACTCCGCCTCCGCCTCCGCCTGAGCACCGACCACCATGGCCATGGCCGCCGGCGTGTCCTTTGCTACTGCTAGTAATTTAGCCTACTACACCTATTCACCTGTGTGTCTGTGTGTGAGAGTATATACAATTCCTGAGTGCGTGTGTGTGTGGATGGATGGAAAAATATGGAAAAGGTGCCTAGCTACGACGTACCGTGGTTTGTTGGAGCATTCATGTGGATGTGGCACAACTATGCATGCATCTGAGGGAAGAGGACGACTAGCTGCTACGTACTGTGTCTTCGATTCCGGGCAACTCTAGCTGGTTAACTATAGTTGGTCTACCCCGTGAATGTGCTTAATTATAAGCAATTGCTGCATTGTCATGTACGCCGCCTATTTTGTTAACTCAACTTATGTGTTGCTGAGATATGCATCCCTCTGCTTAGCCTCTTTGTTGTCTCTTATGTTTATGTTGGCTTAGATTGTGTTGCATAAGGTATAATGCAGGCTAAGCTGATATAGGCAACCAATCCGACCTGTATCTTCTTCGAGGCTGCAAAGAATGATCAGGGTAGCTTTATTATCTCTAAACTAAAATTATGTAGAGACCAACATTACCTCGAATCCCTCCCAAGAAAAGAAAACTTTCTAGACTGTTATTCATGGAGCGGCGGGATTATCTTGCGATGTTGAGTGGCAAGTCTTCACTTAGATCGCCGTCGTCAGGTAAGGCCTCGATGGGGATCTCACCGTAAACGATTTATATATATATATAACATTGGCCGCTGGCGGATTGGTAACGTGTTTGTACAAAGCACAAAGGAGAGTGTCGCGCCTGGAGACGCTATCTGAAGAGGTGCTGGACAATGAACAGGGAGAAGAGGCGTTGGAAGAAGAAGGCGTCTTCATATCTACATTTACGTATTTATAATAGCTGTTTTACATGTGTGTCGCTGTTTTGTGGACCCGAGTGGTCAGACTTGTAAGGGGAATAAAACACCCCGATCTCTTCTGTAAGAACTATCGAACTCGTATTGAAGAAACTGAAACTCGCCAAGGCAGAGGGCTTGCCTCGCCGGGCGACCTCGCTCAAATATATCCATTGCGTTCGTGCTCACGTCGGCGGCGATCCTCGTCGGGCGGCCAAGGGTGTGACAAGTGGTATCGGATTCGACTATCCTTGGCGTGGGTGCGGAGCTTCACCGCTCATCATCAGCGTCAATTATCGGCTCTTCGCTGGCTATCTCCGATAGGTTTCGGTGATGATCCATCCGACCATCCATCAATCCATCCATCTAGCGCAGATCCACTATACCTCTCTTTCCCCCATACCACCGGGTTTCTGTTCTACAGCTTGTGTGTCGATCACAATCTGTAAAATCCAGTGGGCACGCTCTGCTTGGGTCACGCCTCAGAGGTGTTCGACCAAAGTACCCAGAGGTCCCTCTTTTGGTTGATTGGGTCACCACTAGCCGTAAACAGCACCTTCCACCAAATCTATACACAATCCTAGTCAAGATCTGTCACCTTCTTCGGCTAATCATTCAAGTGGGGGACTACATCGACACCTTGGGTTCGGCGGCGTGAACCGTGGGAGCAGCATCTATTCTGTTCCATCTGATCACTTTGGCAAGTTTGAGTATACAACAAGGGTTGTGGGGCGGTGTCCTCACATAAAATTCCGGCGTTGCTTAAGGTCAGATTGGTGCGGTGGTGTTGGCGGGAGAGTGTCCTTGGGCTCGGGTTTCGAGGCGTGTCCTCGTGTAAAATTCCAAGGCTCAGCCTCACTCTCAGGCGGCGGTGTAGTGCCTGGCAACAGTTGGGGAGGAATCATCCAAACCAGTTGCTCGCGCACGGTCTTCTTGAATTGTGTTCACTGTGGCTCCAGTCAAGCCATCTAAGCAGACATCTCTGCTGTTGGACGCCATGTCCAGGAAGTCTGATGAGGAGCAGAATTTCATGGAGAGGGTCATGGACCAGTTTGATCTGTTGGTCACACGAGTCAACGAGATTGGTGCCACCCAGACTCAGATGAAGCAACAAATGGATATTTGGGCTGCTGCCATGGATGAGTACACCAGTGAACAACATCTTATTGCTCAGCAGGTGAGAGCCAATGGGGCAGCTGTAGCCCAACTGACATTGCAACAATTTGATCAAGGAGAGATGTACAAAGATGGGGAGTTCACATCTGTCACCTCAGAGGACAGTGACCATCAGGCTTTGGAGAATATCTTTGCTTCCAAGAAACCACCACCAGAGGTTGGTCCTTCCAAACATCAGAAACCACCACCAGAGGTTGGTCCTTCCAAACATCAGAAACCACCACCAAAGCAACCAAAGCACAAGGATGACAAAGATCCTAAATTACCCAGCCACTCAATGCCTAAGATGCAATTCCCCAAATTTGACGGAACTGACCCAAAGATTTAGAAAGACAAATGTGAGAGCTATTTTGACCTCTATAAGTTGCCTGAAGGAATGTGGGTGACTGCTGCCCGTATCCATTTGGAAGGGAATGCAGCTAAATGGTATCAAGCTTATAAGCAGAATCATACATTCAAGAACTGGAGCCATTTCTGCTCAGTGGTGGAAGAGGAGTTTGGGTCAGATGATTTCAGATCAGCTCTAAATGATCTTTTGGAGCTCAGGCAGCAAGGCCAAGTGGAAGAATACACCACACAGTTCTAGTCCCTGCAATATCAAGTCAACATGCACAATTCTCAATATGATGATATATTCTATACTACCCAATACATGAGGGGTCTTAAGAACGAGCTCAGGGGTACAGTAGAAGCCCAAATGCCTACAACAGTGCTCAAGGCATCAATCATAGCTAAGATTCAGCATGGGGTACTTGAGAGAGCTAAGACCAAGCAAACCAAACATCATTATCAACAAAGAACTTACCAGCCACATAGACAAGATATCAAACCACAACCACAAGCTCCTTCTCTCTGGCGTGATAGGCAACTCAGAGATTATAGGAAAGCAAATGGTCTTTGATATAGCTGTGGAGAAAAGTATGTTCCAGGACATATAGAAGTATGTGCAAAAAGAAATAGGCCACAAGTCAATGCCTTAGTCCTCAATGACCTAGACAGGGAACTACCAGATGAGGTCCTTAATGATTTGGCTGCAGAAGATGTACTACAGGAAGACTTTGGTAAATTGTCTCTCAATGCTCTCTCAGGGACTGATAGTGTTGATTGTATCAAGCTGAAAGAAAGAGTGAAAGACAAGACCATGTTGATTCTTGTTGATAGTGGCAGCACCCACAGCTTTATAAGCTCCCATTTTGTTCAATTGGCTCAGTTGCCTGTGGTACCTATTCCTGCTAGACAAGTGAAGTTAGCAAATGGTCAGGTGATTATGACTGACAGCAAGGTTTGTAAGCTACCCTGGTTTTGCCAAGGTTCCACCTTGTACACTGACATGATAGTATTGGATATGCACCCCTATGACGCCATTTTAGGGTTTGATTGGCTCACTGCTCATAGCCCAATGAATTGTGATTGACAAACTAAGACACTGGAATTCTCTAAAGGTGATAGAACAGTGCATTTGCAGGGTTTGCAACAGTCACCCTTATCCCTAACTGCTATCTCAGCAACAAAGGTCTTCAATTCAACAAAAGGCAATGATGTGTGGGCGTATGTTCTAGTGGATCAACATAAAGACACACTCAGTCCTCCAAATATTATTTCTTCCACTGAGTCTGATCAACTCAAACTGCTACTTGCCAAATACAAAGATGTTTTTACTGACCCTAAAGTTCTACCACCCCATAGGATACATGATCACACAATACCTTTGTTGCCTACTGCCATACCTGTCAACTCTAAACCTTACCATTATTCTCCATTTCATAAGTCTGAAATAGAGAGACAGGTACAAGAACTGTTACAAGCGGGGCTGATTACTCATAGCAACAGTCCTTTTGCTTCCCCTGTTTTATTGGTCAAAAAGAAGGATGGTTCCTGGAGGCTATGTGTGGATTACAGGAAACTCAATGATCTGACCATCAAGAATCGTTTTCCAATGCCTATGATTGAGGAAATCCTGGATGAATTATTAGGCTCCAAATATTTCACCAAGTTGGATTTGAGGGCTGGCTATCATCAGGTGAGAATGCAGCCACAGGATGAGCACAAGACTGCATTTAAAACTCATCAAGGGCATTATCAGTACAAAGTGATGCCATTCGGTCTTACCAATGCACCTGCTACATTCCAATGCATCATGAACCATATCCTCCAACCCTTCCTCAGAAGATTTGTCCTAGTATTTTTAGATGACATCCTCATCTACAGCCCCACTATGGAGGATCATATTCATCACATGGACTTAGTCTTTGAGCAGCTGAGAAAGAACCAGTTCTATGTGAAAGACTGAAAGTGCACCTAGCCCTTTAGTGGGTTTTGGATGATTGAATGACAACGTGATTAAAGGTCTAACCCGTTTGCTAAGTGTGGACAGGTAATAGGTTATCTCACAGGTACTTAATGAAAGCCAAAATGATGTGTTGTTGTATAAACAATCTAGTTCAAGCACAAGACAACAATGCAAATGGAATTCATACAAGGGCTTGTTTATTGTGGGATTTTCATGTACTATGTAAAAGCAAGCTTATGAGAATTAATTAATGAGACATAAGGGTTTGCATATGGAATGGTCTCATATTTGAAGCTTGCTAAATTGAAATGAAAAAGATGACCAAGGCATGAACTCTAAATTATTTAAGATGAACTGACTTGATAGAACTTGAGATGGTGAAGATAGCAATTATCGACATAGGTACTAACTCCCGAGGGTTAACCAACCCGAGAACAACACTTTTTATAGTTATAGCTAGGGCAAATAAGGAAGTACTCGCCAAGATGCATACGGACATCGCCCTATGATGGCCAGCTGCATCAAAGAACAAATCGCTTAGCTCTTTTGTCTCTCAAACACTCAAAGTCACATGGGTACATTTGAGCACTTATGAAACATTATCTATCAACATGATGCATCCTCTTAATAGTATGGCTATTCTCT